TGCATGTCTTCCGTCGACAACTCACTAAAATACTAAGATAACAGGTGAAATTATAATAATTACGTAACAACATGCTTTGGTAACTGTTCCTTCTAGCCCCGACCTCCCCTAAGTCCCTACCAACCTGTTGCAAATGTTTGTTTACAATATTACGCGAACCAGTCGAACGATCTCGAATACATCCTACCAACCAAACAAGCCAAACAAAAATCAACACTATGATAAATACATTAGCTTCACAATAGCGTAGCCATTTATCAAGACTTACAACGTTCTATCACGATTAGTTTCTCAAGCGTTCCAGAAAGTGGACGGACGTTTATCCTTCGTGAATTTTAAACGAGTTTGAGTCTTATGAAGTGGTTTTGAAAGTTGTTTTTCCAGCAATAGATTTGTTGATATAGGGTGCAATGACGAAAACTCGTAATAGTGTTCACGCAACGGTGGTAGCGTCAGCATGTTAAGTAAACCTGTTTATACATTTTTTACTTTGTCGTAGTATGATTTAATGCAGCGATAATACGATAATGTTTCTGATGTATGCCTTATCTTGACGCAGAACAATTTCGGGTTTAATAAAAATCATGTTATGAATATTGAACACTAAAATGAATTATAAACACAATCATACGAAATTAAAAAGTTCCGCGTATTCTATTGATTGCAAACGTTGTATGATTTTGACATTCAATGTAATTGCTATACAGTTTAGATTACTTTAACAGTGTTTCAATAGACTCGTGAGCTCATGGGTATGTAGGACTTTTACTATACTATACTTTAAAATTATGCTGAATAGGTAAGCCATAAGGCTTAACAAATAAAAAGAGTTGTAGTAAATATTCATGAAAAATCTTAAACAAGGAAATGTTCTGTGGAAATAACAACAACCTATTATGATAAAAGTTCGTGGAAGGAAAGAGAAAGCAGATATAAATTTTGGTGAAATGGCGATAATTTGATTTACCTGAGTCAAATAACATAACAATATTATATAATAACTTTGTTTTTATCTCCTGATACCAGTTTTAAAACCTTTTAGTTTAGTCTTAGTGTGAATCTAGCTTTCTAAAGGCGACTTTTATTTTCAAAATACCTATCACTTAGTACATTTTATTCTTGGTCAACTATTAAGCGAGTCTTTGTAGTATTTATATATACTATATTTGCTGTTAAAAACATTTTGCTTATCTTCAAATGGTATATACTCTGTGACTTGACAAAATATATCACTAAAATTAGATTGCAAATGGGTCTTTGACGGTATACAGTGTTTAAATAAAAAAAAACGTCTTTTATCCCAAATAGCCAGTATTAAGTGAAGCCAGGTTGAAGTAAAGATTTAGGCAGAAATACATGTCATAGAACGAGCACGAGTTCATCGACTTTTCACAAACTATAACAAGAAAACATAAGTATTCGAAAAATCACCGAAAATACAAAAATATACATCGCCAATACAGTTCAGAAGTTGTCCCCTACAAGTAGTCCGACCACAATTGAGTCACCGCTACACACGTAACCGAAATGTCAATAACCTGTTGCATTTCCACCAAACGTTACGACATCCTTTATTTTGGTCAATTTTAATGACGCATGACGACTCCAACTTTTCTCTTTAGTGACTAAATATGTGTTTATTTTTTTTATGGCATAAGCCGGTTACCGAGCTGACGGATCACCTGATGGTAAGCAATCAGCGTCGCCCATGGACACCTGGAACACCAGAGCCGTTACAAGTCCGTTGCCGGCCTTTTGGGGATTAGGAGTTTGAGGATCGTTGGGGATTCAGGAATTGGGGAGATTGGGGAAGGGGAGGGTATTTGGGCCTCCTTATTAAGTAAGTTATGAATAAAATATGACAATAGACACAGTTTTATCGGTATTTGTTTAATTATATACACAAAATGATGGTAAAAGAACAAGTATCTGCTTAACTAGACTTATAACTGATGCCCTAAATATGACTCTTGCCATATTCATGACATAAATCCATGCTGTGTGGTTTCCCTAAACTAAAAAAACATGCGCTTGTCGATATTGATCAAAACAAAACAATCATCTGAGTCGTAAATATTGTATTTGCTGTTAAAATGAGAGATAAGATTATATTAATGGCTAATCGATGTCATGAGTAATCCATTTTAGATACGACAGTTTTGTCTAACATCTTATTTTACGCGCAATCTACAACATAACAATATCACTACATAGTATAAAACAAAGTCGCTATCCGCCGTCTGTCTGTCCCTATGTATGCTTAGATCTTTAAATTCACGCATCGGATTTTGATGCGTTTTTTTAATAGATAGAGTGGGTGTAGGTTCATAAGGAACGTTTATACATATGTATAGTACATGCATATTGCACCCGTGCGAAGCCGGGGCGGGTCGCTAATAAAAACAAAAATTTAAAAGGAAAGCCAATATGACATAGAAGATATTCTGACCATTCAAAGAAAGTCTAAAAGAAGGGTACACAATTTTAATAAAAACTGCATTCCTAAAAAACAAAGAGCGAAAAGGTACTTAAAATTTTTCGCACTTAACCTTTTACTTAAAAACTGTGTCCTACTGACCTTTTTACCGAAAAATTAACTACAGTTAGTGAGTAAAGACGCAATTTAGTACAAGCAACTGCACATTAAGCTATACGTCACCAGTTCACCAGTGATCTCGCTTTGTACGACCTTTCGTCATAAGTTACGGTCAGTTTATACTGGTTATTTATAATTTAGTGTGTGTATACGGATTTTGTATGACGTCAATCGGAAGTGATAGTTTTACTTGGAACGCATTGACCTGTGCAGCGGGGAAACCATAAAAATAGAAATTATAAACACTAGGATGATTCATGTTTTCACAAATTCGCATGAAACCGTGTCAATGTGTGTCAATGATGTGTCCAATTGTTATGAACAATAATACTAGAAAGAATGAAAGGTGTACAATTATAAAAAACATAGCATCACGCCTTTTATCCCCGAAGGGGTAGGCAGAGATGTAAATTACGGTACTTAATGCCACTGTACAATGTAACACCCACTTTTCACTATTTATGTTATGAGTCCCATGTAATAGGGGGTGAGCCTATTGCCATATACCGGACACATTTCCAGACTCCGTGCTACTACTGAAAATTTCTGAAAACAACCCAAAACCCCTTGCCGGGCAGTCGCACTTGCAACAACTCGGTCAATGAGGCAGTGTACAAACCTTTGATATCAATTTATTGTTCATCATCAGCATCATAATATCAGCCACAAGATGTTCACTACTGAATGTAGGCGTTCCCCAATTACTTCCAGATAGGAATGGAAGTGACCTGCATCCTCGGGTAAAGTGTTGGTAAGCGTAGCTCATGGATCTATGACTAAGCTAACAGGTCAAGTGGCTGACGTAGACTTAGGCTCAGCAAACCTCATTTAATAAATTTTTAAGCTCATGAGGATAGCCACAAAAGTTCCCAAAAATTTCCCGTCGGCTAGACGGAATCCAATGAGTAAAGATGAAAGTGTAATAAAACATTTTCAGCTTTAAAATCCCATTAGTAATACGGATTTTTTGTATCACAATATATGCTTTCTTATGTATGTGTACTGCTAACCTCTTAAGAGTGCAAAAAGATGTAATGATTATGTTTTGTTTAATAGAGGAAAAGTAATCATTACAAATGAGTATCAGATTGATGCAAATAGTAATTACACTTGTAATGGTCACTAAGTTTAATAATATTGTTTTGTCTGTATGTATTGTAATACGTTGTTCGATTTGATGGTAAGTGCAGTAGAGAATGAGGTCTTTATATAGTTCAATGCCCAATACAAGTATGCAAATCAAGAAAAAGAAGGGTGTATTTAAATACAGTTATTAATAAATACTCTAAAAACAAACTCCATTCTACACAAACCCAGTACATTAAGCTTGTTCAGAATATTGACACGACTCTCATTTCTTCCAAGCAATTTCCTTCAAATTACACTTACTTGTGTACATCATATAAGTAGGTAACATACTCTCAACAAATTTATAAATAATTGCCACACAATGTACAGACAGCAAAGAAAGCATCAATCACAGCAAATTCGATTCTTGTTCAACAAATTGGAAAGGTTATTGATACCGAAAAAAGTGATCGAAAGTGTTATTGTTTTTGTTTTGTACTAAGAGTAAAAGTGCTTGACCTACAAATAAGTGCATCGCTAGTTTTGCTAACGGTACCGCGCACACAGAGGCGGTCATTGCCCGGCGCTCGCGTGTGTGTGTGAACTAAACACGTTCAGCTGCGCAGGAGTAGGCAACCTCAAGCGCTTTTAATTAAAATGGTAATTGCAAGGACGCTGAGCGAATTTCAAAATAGTAAGATGCATTTAAATATTATTTTTTGTATACCTGCATGATTAGAACAAAATATAGGATATCATTACACATACATATACATTTCCGTAATTGAACTTACGTATGTTATTAGGTGGTAGATTCAATAAATTAATCAACAAATCGATCATGCAAATGAAGTTGTAATTACACAATTGTAATATAAATTTCATTTCTTTTAACTTTGTGTCGCAATAGTAAATGTACAAGAACTAGTCCTATATCTTGGGTGTATTCACAATCATAACACACACGTAACACCCAGACTGGGTACAACAATTTGTGGATCACGCTACGCCCCTGCCAGTTGGCCAGTCACTAAAGCGTGATTCAATAATTTGTTTAATATTTACCTTCAAAGAATTAAACATTGTTTACTACATAATTGTCAACTTGGTAAATAAAATTCAATGTCAATTGATTACAAAACATTTCATATGAATCATCAAACTCAGAGACGGAAACATCCGTCCACACTTTCCAAATGTTTACAACAACTGGTTTTACCGCTGCGGTTATCAATGAGTGGCGTACATTCTCGAAACACTACCAAGCCTATATAAGCCCCGAGCGGGCTTGCAGCCGGCATAGTACATTACGAAAGCAGCAACGACGCAACGAATGATGCAGAAATACGTCTTACTCATTGCATTCATCACCACTGTAGCCTGCCATGAGGCCAGGAAGCACAGGGTGGAAGATCCATTCTCAGCCCTAGACAAACACATCACCCACACACTCGCCTACCATTACCTGTGGCCATGGAGTCAACTCATCCGGGCAGCAGCTGCTCTAGACGTCGAAGAAGTTCTTGAAGAACCCCAGATTGTGTCAGACAACGAGAAACTGCTCATCAATCTCAACGTAAGGAGGTTCAAGCCTGACGAGTTGAGGATCAAAGTGAAGAACCGCTACATCATTGTTGAAGGAAAGCACAAGGAGAAGGATGACGTCCAGCAGTTCATGGCTAACCACTTCGTCCAGCGGTTCGTGCTGCCTCCTGGTAGCAAACAGGAAGAAGTGACTGCGGTCCTCAAGGAAAATGGTGTTCTAACAGTGTCTGTGCCCAAACATGAGCTGCCCCCTCCACCACCAGAGAGGGAAGTGCCCATCGAAGTGAGGCTACCAGTTAAAGTGGAAGACAAAACAGAAATACCTGTTACTGTAAAAGAAGAGAAAATTGAAACCACAACAGTTAAGAAGGAGGTTCCAGTCCAGGCATCTTCGGTGACACCCTTGGAACAGTTGGAATTAGTGGAAGCGACCACACATGTTGGCAAGATCAGGAAGAAGGAGCTGAAGACCACAACTAAAACATCAAAGGACAACGAAGTGTCAAAGGGGATTGATGGGAACGGCTTAGATTATGCTTTGATTGAAGCGGAGTGAATGCAGCTTGGTGGGAGTGAAATAAGACTGAACAAAGCTTTAAAGTGACCGGCAGTCATTAAAGCGTGTTTAACTTTTCGAACGGTAAAAGACATTTAAATGACATTAATGCTACAGGTATAAGTCATGTTGTTGTGTACAATAGATCGTTCGAAAGTTTAGGAGCAATAGTTGTTACTATTATTAAGTTTTAATTTGTTTTGAAACATTTGGCCCACCAATAAACGGTGTTATTTATTAACCTCTGTGTTTCCATTCCATTCGCGCGGAGCCGCGGTAATATTTCTGTTTCATAAGACTGTTCTTTATGTTAATGTTGTGTGTAAATCTGTGTAACGCACTCTGTCGGGATGAGATGCTGCCTTAATGGTCTAAAGCCTCATTTGCATTGACGGAAAAAGTCTGTGAATTATTTCGCGGGCTTGAATGATGGTCATTCCTTTTGATTTTGGAATGAACAAGGAAAATACAAGATATTTTGGGAATAGTTACACAGTTAGAATTTATTTTCATTTGGTTACCAGATTGAAGAATGTTACAGACAGCTAAATAATTTTAGACAACATCCTTACTCTTAGAGATGTAAAACCTGGATGCCAATATTTTCCTGAACATGAACAAAAAGTTTTCGAATGTTCCAGACTCATACAACCAGAAACATTTCTCGAGGTTTTCGCACCTAAGAAAACATTGACAGCAATCTCAGACCAGTAAAAATTATGCTGATGTTGTAACTATATTATGTAGGTAGAAAACTAATCATAATATAACACAGTACCACGCTTTTCATTCCCCGATGTCAGACAGAGGAAATATAACACTCACTTTTTACCAATAAGTTTATAATTCCGTATAAGAAGAACGAGACGATTTCTGTAGGTGCGATTTCGGTTTTACAGAAATAACTTTGCCGCACACTATAATTCTTCTACTGTGTCGTGGGTGTGTTTACAAACATACAATATCACATACACATGACACCCAGACCCGGAACAACAATCTGTGGATCACACACACTACCAACAAAGCAGTAATATCACGTGATATAATAAAACTATGCCCAATGCACGTCAAAACCTAGAAAATGTATTTATCCATAAACTATTTCTTTATTTATTTAAATCAAATCAACATATCCTAACAAGTTACACCCAATGCGATAATGTTGTCACGCAATATAAAAACGTGTAATTAAAATTGTTATAACACAGCTTTATTAATTGCACTTACCATCAAGTAGAAGTAACAACATCAGTCTTTACCTTTATGTACTCCGCCAATGAGCAACTGAAAATATCTAATTTTTGTTCAACACTGTTAATTATTTTAATAGCTTTAGTCACAGGAGCATATTGACCTAGGTATGTGAGTGCGACTGGTGAGGTCTTAAAACAGTATCTGCTTCGGGAACAGGGCTAACTTTTTGTTGTATGTACGAATAGCCACTATATAAACGACCTTAATACAAAATCCCCGGAGCAATTTAGGAAATTTAATGGTACTTCTATCAAAAATCTTTAAATTGAGATATGGACGAAGGAACAAAAAATTTAATGGTACAATATGACACCCACCTACTACGTATTATTATAGAGCAAAATCTAATTATACATTATCTATCATTTGATTGGACGGTTGGCGCGGTGGCTGGGCAACTGGCTGCCGCGCTACCCGCGTGACGCGGGTTCAATTCCCGCACGTAGCAACTCTTTAAAAGTATGACAGTTAGTCTTCTAGTGAATGTATTTGCTTGTTCCAAAGTGTAGATTCCTATGGAGAAGAACGAGTAAGGAACTGCATTAGTTACTCTTTTTCCATGCATCAGATTCATAATACATTGTTTATTTGATTCATTTATGTGAGAACAATGTAACACCAATATTCAGTCAAAGAGATGGAAAAAGAAAATAATCTTAAGGACAATAAAATAATACAGTTTGGAGTCGACCAGTCTCAGTTAACGGCGCCCGTTCACGAACATGACACGTGTACTACCAGCACCGCACAATTCAACCATAAGTAGGGAATCGAGCGATCCAATGGCCGTGCCACCGCCAATAAGACCTTTGCTAAATTGTAAGTTATGACATACCGTCAATGACAACGACGACGAGCTATTTTTTTTTTCTTTATATTTGATGGGGCAACGTTTGACCACTGTCTCGCCTGGTGGTAAGCGATGATGCGGTCTACGATGGAGCACGTCGTCCCATAAGCAACCTATTCTACTAACCTATCTTTGGCAGTACGCACAAGGAAGCTTGAGGCGAAGGGCTTCGTGCGTGTGGGTGGAACATCCACCATGAATCGGTGACGCTTCGCCGATTGTCGTGTGGTACGTTGATGGGAAGGATTAAGGGAATCAAGTTGTGCAATTCCCCTATGCTAAGCTATGTATTCAATAAACTGAAAAATATTTGTTACAACATTTCAAGTATGTATAATTTTGTATTTTGATTTATACACATCATTGTTTTAGTATACAAAGATAGTGAGACATATTCATACAATTATTAGAAGTATCTCAAGTATTAATCAACATTGTTGAAAAATTATGAAACATATGAATGTATTTATGCAACAATTGTCTGACTTCTTCGTTATTGTATTGCTCACTAATATGACTGTTATGACTTCAAATCAAGAAATATATACTGGAGTCATCCAAACCATTACAGAAATGTTCATTTAGTTTACATTTTATATTCAATACATACTGTTGAATGTAATTATCTGCGTGTATATGTCACGTTTATATTTATGATATACAAGAAATTAAATGTTAAATCGCACTCTTTGAATACGTCGAGGTGTAGAAACAGACATACACGTCCAAGTGAAGTATAAGGGCTCCGGCTCGACGTGCAGGAGAAGGAACGGGGTGGTTTTTAGTCAGTAAGAGTCTGACACTCCCTCGCGCCTCACCCAGGCGGGAGCAGTCATTCGATGATTTTCCCCACATAAAAAAAACGTACTCTATGTGACACTATGATAACAGTCTATATTTGATTTAGACAATATCTTAGTAAAGTTTGTCATTGTTGCATTAGAGTGGGAAAGCCATACTTCGGCACGAATGGGCCGGTTCGACCGGAGTGATACCACGGCCTCACTGAAAACTGGTGTGAACAATAATTGCATTGTGATTCGTCATGTGAGGTTACCGAAAGTCCAATTACCCCCTCCCCTTCCCCAATCTCTCCAATCCCTGAAACTCCAACAATCCTCAAATTCCTAATCCCCATAAAACCGGTAACGTACTTGGAACGCCTCTGGTGTTCCAAGTGTCCATGGGCGGCGCCGATTACTTACTATCAGGTGATCTGTCTGCTCGTTTACTGGCTAATCCCTAAAAAAATTTTTTCGTAGATTATTATGAACGCTATATTAGTTAACTGCTTTTGAACTTTATAACCATGTTTTTTCAACTAATAAATCTAAAAATATGTATATTGTAACAAAATTACAAAGTGAGAAAGGTTACTAATATTAAGATAAATATAATATTAAGATAACAAAAACTAAATAATATTAAGATAATTTTAATCAAGTATAAGAGAACAACTGATTAAATTGACAGGTATCAAATGAACTTACAGTTTTATATGAATAATATAAATTAACTAATTTAATAATGTACTATTCAATTTACTTTTGCTATAACTTATTGCTTACATATTCTTTACAAGTAAAATATCATTGATTTTACCTTCATTTTACTTGACTTCATTTAATTAAATCTTCTGAATATAAATTTTATTCTGTGTACAGTTTTTTTCTATTAAATTTAGTCTTTTATATATTAAGGGCTCATTTTCTTAAGATACAATTAAATTAGATACTAGGACTAAATGATGTTGATCCGAGAACAAACACTGATGTTCAAGACAAAAAAAACCGTCGTTCAAAGTTTGCTCCTCAAAGTTAATTCGATAACATAACATAATATAACTCCTTTTATCCCCGAAGGGGTAGGCAGAGTTGCACACAGAAATGACACCCACTTTTCACTATTTATGAGTCCCATGTAATAGGGGGTGAGCCTATTGCCTTATACTGGGCACATTTCCAGACTCCGTGCTACTACTGATTTTTTTAAACTTAGTAATACTTTGCCCGACCCGGGAATCGAACCCGAGACCCCTTGCCCGGCATTCGCACTTGCGACCACTCGGCCAACGAGGCAGTTAATTCGATAGTGTTTGGCAATTAGGTTTCTTCAAGTTGTTTAGTATTTTTGTGCTTTTAAAATCATTTTATCTCCTTTCATTAAAACATTCATAACCCTTTATATTTACAAAACATTTGCATGTAGTTGATGGTGGAACACAGTCTCACACTAGCAAACAAATCACTCACATAAGAGTGGCGCCTGATGAAATACTCGGACGCCTGTAGGGCAGGCATCGCAATTCCGATTCAATTACGCGGTCAGGCGCTTGGAGGCACGTCCTGTACACTGTGTACTGTAACACTGCAATGTATGCAGATACGTACGAAATTATTGGGCTCGTTACAACTTTTAGTAGGGTCATTTAGATAATCTGATAATGTGGTCAATAAGCTGAGGTGGTAGATTGAAGCTATCTAAAGATAATAAAAATCGGTCGCTAGGGGATATCTCAATTATACTTCTTAAATATTCATCATTAAAGTTAGTAAAACGATTTTAATTACGTCCTTGCAACAATATGGTTGATATTGTAGAATATCCAGCTATTCAATAGCAGGTTATAGACAAAAAAGTTTCATACATTCCAGCAAAGCAAACCACTAATATACAGGATGTGGTTCTGAGTTCAAAACGAACAGCTGCAAAATTGTACAAATACCAAATAAATTACGAAATTGGATTAGAAGTTGTAACCCATAAGACATACAGATAAGCCCATAACCCTGAACACGATACACCAACAAAACTTTAACAAACTCGTTAAATTGTAGCGTACAGTCGTTAACAATGTAACTTGAACACATCGTCGCCATTTAACTTCCCAAAC